ATTAATTCAGTTACCAATTAAATCGAATTAATCAAAACTGAATTAATCAAAACTGAATTAATCAAATAATTTTATTTAATCCGAGAACTTCATATAAAATTTTAATTATAGATTTTTTTTGTAAATCTAAAATAGTTTAAGGATAAATTTGTTGGATAACCTTCGTAGAATTTTTATTATTCAACGACAAAAGAATTATATTTTTTTAAAAAAAATTAAGGGCATTTTAGTGTAAAACGCCGGTAATCCAACAATACCTATGGGAAGGGGGTAATTACATTCCCGGTAATATACAAAAAAATCCACTGTTGGTAATAAAAAATTATCAAAAATAAGATTATTAGCCAACTAAATGAAAAAATAAGGATTTCATTCCCCGGTAATATATTATGCCGTGAACCAAACGGCCCTCAAAGTTTACTCTATAATTTTCCATGTATAACTTTCAAACGGAGACTAAGAGCGAAAAGCAGGCCAAAGTAATTCAAGTCCATGACATGAAAGCTAGACGTCATATACAGTATTTTTCAATACATGTGTTTTCATGACTTCAATTGTTTGAAGTCCTTAAAATGGAAAAATTTAACGGAAAATGGACCGATCCAAGTTTAAATTATTTTAAGTCCTCAAAGTTCTGGAAGTAAGTAAACCTCCAAATTATTTTTACATCCAATTGAGCCCCCAGATTTAGAAACCCTATCAATTAAGCCTTTGAATGAAAAATTGAATCACTTTTTAAAAATATTGTTGTCACATGACACACTATAACTTCATCACATGAAACTTGTTTATTTTATAAAAGAAAAAATAAAATATTTAAAAACAATTAGAAGGTAGTAAAATTATACAAGGGTAAACTATGCCAATGGTCACTCATGTTCGGGGTAGTGTTCGTTTTCACCACTGATGTTTAAAAGTCACAAACCGGCCACTAACGTTATTGTTTGTTACAAAATGGTCACTCGACGTTAACAGCCTCGACTTATGATTAAAGGAGCTTGCAAGAAAGTTGTCTGCATCGTCGATGAGTCCAAGCTGGTCAAGTACTTGGGAGGCATCGGTTTGGCTTGGAGATGATGAGATGGTTGCTAAGTATGGAGATGAATGGAAGAAGAAGATGAAAATCGAGATGACTTTAGTGACTTTTTAAACATCAACGGTGAAAACGAACACTACCCCAAACATGAGTGACCATTGGCGTAGTTTACCCATTATATAAAAATATAAAAATATAAAAAAGTAAAAATTATTTATAAAAATAAAAATTAAACATTATAGTGGTCTCAGAACCATTTTATTCCACGTTTTGTTTGTTGGAATTTCATCGTTATATTCATTATTTTCGTAGTTTACATCACATAAAATGAGTTCAGGCTCAATGAATAAATCAATCTCGAAAATATTGGCATCGAAATTGATTTTAATGGTTTTAAATCTTTCAAGAGCTCAATGAAAGTTTTTTTATGGATTAAACATTGATGTTGAGGTAGGCAAAGGCAGACCTAGGATGAAATTATTGGAGGGATCAAATTGTTCATCTTTGAAACTAACAAGGTTTTAAAATGTAATTAAATCACAAAAAATAGAGGATTGAACCTTAGTTTCACTAATTTCAAAACTGTCACGTCTTAAATAATAATTAAATAAAAAATTAGGAGAAAGATTTAAAATTGATAATTAAATAAAGAAAATTAGGGGAAAGATTTAATTTTATGTTGGAGAAAAATCAATTATATTTTTTATTTAAAGTGACACATAATATAAATATATACTCAATATAAATAGATGTTATTTTGATAATATTTAGCTAAATTAGCCCCTTTTTGTTAAAAAAATATTAAGTTAATTATGATTTTGCCCCTTTTTGACTTGTATTCACTGACGAAAAAGCACACACGATAGCGAAGGTTCCCTGAAATTTTAAAACTGCCCCCTGCCTTTCTTTATGTTAATCATCTTTTTCACTGCTAATTTACACCATATAAACCGCCCATTGGGAATCATCCCTCAAATTTCGTATAATCTGATCATTTCATTGGCTTTTTCAAAACAAAAGTGCAAGTTATGGAGCCGAACATGTTGCCAGAGAGCTGCGTTGCTGAGATTCTGTCCCACACCTCTCCTTCCAACGCCTGTAAATCGTCCTCGGTCTCGACCACTTTTCGATCGGCGGCGGATTCCGATTGCGTCTGGGGCAAGTTCCTGCCGTCTGATTGCCATGAAGCTGTGTGGGAGGCTTGTGATGCAAGTTTCCGGTTTTGTTCAAAGAAGGAGCTTTATTTCCTCCTCTGCAACCCTCTTCTTATTGACGATGGCAAGATGGTTAGTTTCTTAAAAACAAAGATTATGAGTCTTAATGATGGTTTTGATTATTGTCATAATCTGTTGCATTAAACATGCAGAGTTTCAGAGTGGAGAGATCGAGTGGAAGAATGTCATATATTATATCAGCGAGGGAGCTTTCCATAACATGGAGCGCTGATCCAATGTTTTGGGTTTGGAAATCCATCCCTCAGTCAAGGCAAGTCGTTTTCAAACAATAACGATATCAATCGAACTAATACTCGATCGAATATACATATTCTGATACAACACTTTCTTGTCTTCAGATTCTCGGAGGTGGCCGAACTCGTAACCACAAGCTGGCTGGAAATCGATGGCAAAATCACAGCCAAAATGCTTTCTCCCAACACAAACTACGGAGCTTATCTCATACTTCAAACCACCGAGAGATCATACGGCCTCGATTTAGTGCCATGCGAGACGTCGGTCGAGATCGGGAGCCAAACGTCGAAGAACGCGGCATACATGAGATGCCAGGATAACAAGAAACAACAAATATTGGAAACCCTGTTTTATGCCAGCAGGAAAGAGATGATGAAATCTAGGGTGGTTAAAGGAGACGACAGGGTGATGAGTAAAAGAGAAGATGGGTGGATGGAGATGGAGCTTGGGGGAGTTCTTCAATGGCGGATTTGGTGATGAACAAGTGAAGATGAGTTTGACGGAAATAAAGGGTCATCAGCTTAAAGGTGGGGTTATAATTGAAGGCATTGAAATCAGGCCAAAAGCATAAAATTCCAGGGACTAGAGCAAGATTATATATATATATATATATATATATATATATATATCCTGTAAACACAAGTATATTAATTTACCATTAAGATCCCTAATTCTCAATGAATTATATTATTCTTTTGATAAACCCAAATAATTATATTAAGTGGTCGTAAAAGAGAGAGCTTTCACCATCGCAGGCGTAGTCCAAATGGCAAAGTAAGGGCTCTTGGGATTATGAGTTGATATCATATCCTAAGTTCGAATCGCGTTGGTTGGAAATCCTGAAAAAAAGCGGGAGGACAGAATGACATTGAGAGGTCCTACGTTATCAAAAAAAAAAAAAACTAGTTTGTTATAAAATTTTAAGATAAACTACTTATTTAGTACTTAAATTAGTACTTTTGTCCTATTTTGATATCTAAATTTTTATTTTTTAAATGATATATAATGTTTACTTTTTGTTTTTGATATTTCGTCGTTAAAAAAATTAACTAAATTGTTATACATGACACTTTTTATGATTAAATTAAATCACTCATTATTCAACTGTCTTCTCACTCCTATTTTAATCACTAAAGTTTAAATTTTTTAATTTTAATTACTTAACTTTCGAGTTGCTCTTAATTTAATCACTCTAATTTTTTAATTTAATTTTTCATTTTAATTATATTAATAAAATAATAAAAAACTCACGTCACAAACATTATTAATAAAATAAATTAAAGCGATTAAAACACGAGTAATTTGAAAGTTGAGTAATTAAATTAAAAAAAAATAAACTTTAGTGATCAATTTAGTAGTGAGATGATAGTTGATTGATGAATGATGTAACTCACACCCATAAAATTGACACGTAAAGCAGTTCCGTTATGTTTTTACTGTGGGATATCAAAATGAAACATAAACTAAACGTTAGATATGATTAGATGGAAAATATTTTTATTAAGAGTCAATTGTTTCTCATTTATAAGATATGTTTATATATATTTATTTAAATAATTGTTAATCAATTTAATATCTAATTACTTATTGATTAATTAAACTAAATTCAGATTCGATTTGTTAATTAGATTAAAAATGAATAAAGTCAAGCAAGGGGCAGTGTTTACAACTGTCAATAAAACTCATCATACCAATTGAATACTAATTTAGGAAGACTTTGACCTGCTTTATGCTCTAAGTCTCCATTTGAAAGTTGGGTAAAGTATACAAATGGTCTTCCAATTACATGGTGTTGTTTTGTTGAGTCCACCGACTAATAAAACTTACAAAATGGTCATTTGACTATTCACATATTCCAAACTCATCATTTTTTCGTTAAAAAGTTGGTGACTATTTGTTAATTTATTGACCGAGGTACGATAAAATTTGATACCAGAACTATTTGAGTTGTATCTTTTGGATCGACTCTCCGTTTATATTATACATTCAAGCCAGTGCTTGAAATATTGTGTCGTCGAGCCATTTCTTGAAAGCAATGACGATGCTAGTAGACATCATTAAAATGTGATTTCATCATATATCAGTCAACATGTTAACGTCCAGCTCAGACGATTGTCGATTTTTTAATGAAAAATATGAGTTTAGAACATATAAATAATCAGGTGACCGTTTTATAATTTTTAATAGTTATAACGAGATAGTATTCTATAATCAGAAAATTATTTTATAACTTTTGTAATCGGCAGACTCAACATATTATTTATGGTTTAATGTTGGAGTGACTAAATAAAAATAATTCAAAAGTTCAAGGATAAAATTATTTTGTTTTAAAAGTTTATTGACTAAAACAAGAACACGGATAAAGTTAAATGGTCGAAAACATAGTTTACCCATAACAAATGATAGGGCCAAACATATTAATACGCGTATGAACCAGAGATCTAAATTACCATTAAAGCCTTGGCCTCTTCTACGTTTGAAGAAGACATAACACAGCATCTGGATAAGGTAATATTGGTCGTATTTAACAAATGAAATTAATAGACATATATTAACAAAATCAATTCCCTGTCTCGATCAAACCGTAAATATCTTGTTCTAGTTCCTGGGTTTTTTTTCTATGATTTTGGCCTGATTTCAATGCCTTCGATTATGACACCACCTTTAAGTTGGTGACCCTTTATTTCCATCAAACTCATTTTCACTTCTTCATCAGACATTCCGCCATTGAAGAACTCCCCGAGCTCGATCTCCATCCACCCATCTTCTCTTTTACTCATCACCCTATCGTCTCCTTTAACCACCCTCGCTTTCATTATCTCTTTCCTGTTGGAATAAACAGTGTCTCCATTTGTTGTTTCTTGTTGTCCTGGCATCTCATACATGCCGTGTTCTTCAACGTTTGGCTCCCGATTTCGATCGACGTCTCGCACGGAATTACATCGAGTCCGTATGATCTCTCGGTGGTTTTAAGTATGAGATATGCTCCGTAGCTCGTGTTGGGAGAAAGCATTTTGGTTGTGATTTTGCCATTGATTTCCAGCCAGCTTGTGGTTATGAGTTCGGCCACCTCCGAGAATCTGAAGACAAGAAAGTGTCGTATCAGAATATGTATATTCGATCGAGTATTAGTTCGATTGATATCGTTATTGTTTGAAAACGACTTGCCTTGACTGAGGGATGGATTTCCAAACCCAAAACATTGGATCAGCGCTCCATGTTATGGAAAGCTCCCTCGCTGATATAATATATGACATTCTTCCACTCGATCTCTCCACTCTGAAACTCTGCATGTTTAATGCAACAGATTATGATAAGAATCAAAAACATCATTAAGATTCATAACCTTTGTTTTTAAGAAACAAACCATCTTGCCATCGTCAATAAGAAGAGGGTTGCAGAGGAGGAAATAAAGCTCCTTCTTTGAACAAAACCGGAGACTTGCATCACAAGCCTCCCACACAGTTTTATGGTATTCAGAAGGCAAGAACTTGCCCCAGACGTAATCGGAATCCGCCGCCGATCGAAAAGCAGTCGAAACCAAGGACGATTTACAAGCGTCGGAAGGAGATGTGAGGGACAGAATCTCAGCAACGCAGCTCTCTGGCAACATGTTCAGCTCCATAACATGCATTTTTGTATTGAAAAAAAACGAATGAAAGAATCAAATTATTATATGAAATTTGTGGGATGATGATTCCCAATGGGCAGGTTGGTGCTGGTTTATATGGTGCAAGGGAAGCATAAAGACAAGCAAGGGGTAGTTTATTTACAATTACGTACGTGGAACCTGCAGTCATAGCATGCCACAGTTGATGGGAATTAGTTTAGTATTCCTGTAATATCCAACGTGCAGATTTTGCAATACATTACTATACATTCATATGGTTCTATATAGAACTAACTATTAATTAAACTCCCAATGCCAATCGAATATTGATTTACAAATAGACTTTGACCGGCTTTATGCTATGGGTCTCCTTTTGAAAGTTCCACCTACAAAATTGTACAACTTTGACGATTTATCGTTCTAACTCGTTTTGTATATTTATGGAATACTTTGCCAATTTATGTTGAAGGATGTAAACATAAAATGTTATATTAAAATTAAGTGGTGCACTTATGTTGGTAAATGCTCACAATCGTCACCAATATGTTGTACTTAAGTTATGATAAGTCGGTTGTTAATGTACTGTCATGTTGTATTATTATGTTAGTATTAATGGCGTTTATCTTTTCCGTTGTGTTTGTTTGTATATTATATTTTTCATGAGTTATTTGAATGAATTTTTTTTATTCTTTTCTTGTATGATTTTGTTTTCATTATTTAAAGGCTTAATACCAAAATAAGTGTCTAAACTATGTCTCTTTTCCAGACTAAACTATTTTTTCACTCATCCCGATGTCTAATGTTACAAACATTATCCATTTAGATGTTCGGGCCATCAACGGTGTTAATTCTTCCATTAAGTGACAAGTGTCACAACCTGGTAATTTTAAAAATTTCATTTACAATTAAAAGATTAAAATTATATATATATATATATATATATATATATTAAAAAAGAAAAACATAAAATTTGAAATATACCCAAGTTTGAAAACTTTCATTTCAACTCCTAAATTCATGTCGGCCACTGCCTTTTGCCGTCGACAAAGCTCTACCCGACCTCTCCTCCCCCCGACGACCAAAATCCCCATGAAACCGTGACTAATCGACGGTCGATTGACGATGAATCAATGTTTTATACCCCACGAACCCTAGGATGAAAATCGTGATTCCGACGGCCAATCGACGGAAACTACGACGACGTATGAGTAGGAGGATGGTAGGGACTATGTCGGTGGCGGTGGTCGTGGCTGCAAAGGGCGACGGCGACGGATTAAGGTTAGGATTTGAGATTTTGGAGTTATTTTTATAATATAAGAAAAATATTCATTTTTTACCTCTAGTAAAACATTGGCAGATCCATATTAAGTTTAAGGTGAGCACGTGTCCATCTTAAAATCTGAATTTTCTCAGGTTATTTACTTATTTTATTACTTGTGCCCACCCTGAAATCTTATTTGTGTCCACCCCATAAAAAAATTGTGTTATTAATGTATGTGTATATACCCTGAAAAATATTTTTGAATCCGTCACCAAATAAAAGATGATCCTTCCATTTAAGCCCTCATAGAAAACCATATACAAAAGTTTATCATGACTTTCTATTCATCATCCACAATTTGCATGTTTTCTAAAGGTAAGATAACGTTGCAATCATAGTAAGGTATGCCCAATGTTTTGGTATTGGTTAGGTTAAAAAAAAATTTATATAGATACTTTCAATAAAATTTCATAATAAGTATGTACCCATCCACATGGATGGAATTAGGCGGCTAAAAATCTAAAATTACTATATATTTTAGATTTTTCATGTATTTTATATTAAAAATTTATTTTTATATTGAAAATTTATTTTTATACTCTAAAATTTTAATCGAACTCTTAAAATTTTATAAGTTCAAATTCACCCATCACATACGTATGTGATTAATACGTCACAAATTTTCAAAATTATGTTAGAGGCCCAATCAATCATATTCTTTTTATTTTTAGTTTAATAATTAATTCAATCAGTTCGATATAAAACATTGTTGATAGGTTAGGTGTATTGTAGTCGGCCAAAGTTTTTTTTAAATCACTGGACACGAGATTGAACTTGGAACATGAATTTTTATTTTTTTTCGATTAATCATGGATAAATATAAGATGATACCTATTCAAATATAGTTATCAATCATTTGACATTAAATGTTTATACTTCTTATACTTCTAATATTCGAACTTAAGTTCTCAAAGAATAACAATAATTATTTTAACTAACTTGAAGATATTATTTAGCTAACAGATGGTTATCAATTATTCGAATTCGAGTATAAGATATTATTTTATTTAATCTTCAACTATTAAAAGTTATAAGATGAATTATTTTTATATCCTAGACTCATTCTTTTTCATTAAATAATTTATTGCAATTTGATATAAATATTATTAAATTGTTAATCTAGATATGATAAAATTATATTCTAATAATGTCCACAGGCGTCGTCTTTATTTTCAAGTACAGACTCGATGTCATATTGTTTTAAGAATTGACTCGACGATCTAATATAAACATTGAATTCATTTACAAAATACAATTCAAATGATTCATGAATCAAGTTTTATTATACTTCAATCAACATGTTAATGTTTAACTTATATTACCGTCATTTTTTAATAATTAAAATACTCAATTATTTGTGTACTTCACCCTTTGTTTTATATGATTTATCATTTTTTTTCTCTCTTAAGGGTGATGTTCCAAGTTCTTCAGCTGAATTTGACAAGGCAATTGAATTGGATTCTCGACAAAAGACATGTGAGTTCATTGAGGTTGTCTCTTTTTTCGGTCGTTTAAGAATTCGATCCTTTTATAATAATGATGTGGATTCTCACAATGTTTTGTTATAGATCTTTGGCAAAGAGGGTTGTCATTGTACTATTTTAATAGGTACATAGTTATGTATTTCTTCATTTTTCCCTTTGATCTTTTGATATGCTCAATTGAGCTTGATGCCATTTACAACTCAGTTCAGATTAGGAGTAAATGAATTGAACTTGAACGAATAAAATTGTGTTTTTGTTTGTTTGTTTATTTTTAATAGTATTTCGTATTCATGTTTGGTTTAGGGTCTATTTAAATTTTTAATATCGTGTTCGTTTACTTATTTTTAAAATTATTCGTGTTCATTCGTTTAGCATTCACGAACATATTCGTTTAATGTTTGTAAACATGTACACTTAACATTCACAAACATATCCATTTCGTATTCATGTTTTTGTTCGTGTTTGTTTAAATTTTCAATATCGTGTTTGGTTACTTATTTTTTAAATTATTTGTGTTCATTTGTTTAGCGTTCACGAACATATTCGTTTAATGTTTGTAAACATATTCACTTAACATTCACGAACATGCTCATTTAACGTTTACGTTCGTAAACATGCTCATTTAACGTTAGCAAAGATGTTCGTTTAATGTTTCTCTTTTTGTCCTTTTATTTTGAAGTTAAAGAAAAATGGTGAAATAATGTCACTAGTCCTTATTTTTCTTAGGCTTTATAGTTCGAACTCCAAAGTTCATCTTATGTTCAATTTAGCCTTTATCTTTAGTAATATTTAAAATATAAAAATTAAAAAGAAAAAGAAAAACCGAGTAAACGAATTAATAAATGCGCTTATAAACGAGCCAATAAATGAGTTTGTTCATGAACATAAATGATTCGAATACACCTCTCTTTATGTTCGTTCATTTATTAAATTAATCATACTCGGCAAACATAAGCGAATATTATACGAAATGTTCACAAACAGTTCATCGAACGCCCTGTCATTTACATCTCTATTCAGTTTAGGTTTTTATCTTATGTTTGATTGCAAGAAGATCAATGAAGATTCTCGATTTATGTTCTTTTCTGTTCTTCTGTACTATCTGAAGCAATGTGGGTTTTGGGTTCTCTTTAGATTTGAAGAAGGTGCAGAGCAGTTTAGATTAGATGTTGCTCAGAACCCTAATGATACCGAGGAATCGATATGGTGCTTTCTCTGTGAAGCTCAATTATACGGAGTACACGAAGCAAGGCAACGCTTTCTTGAGGTAAGTAATTGAATCGATACTGCTAACTTGAGGTATGTATCACCATAGCATTCACCGATCGAAGTACGCAACACGAGTACAACCACTTCGAGTAAAATCGATCTTTACAGCTTGTTTTAAGTTTGAGGAATGGTGAATACATGAATGAACAACTTTGGCTGAAATGTTGGTTGGCAGAGATCCAAGACCTGTCCTGCAGGAAGCTTATAACATGTTTAAAGATGGAGGTGATCCAGAAAAGATATTGATCGAAACATGTAGTCGAATATACCGTTTTCAGTTATATTGATGTTTCTAACTAGAAAATTGATACTATTAATTTTGCTGTGTAGCTAGTTGCAGCATTCACCACCGGCCCGGAGAATTTCTTTGCTTCTTTATATGCAGGACTTTACTATGAATCTCAGGTTCGTTTCTATCCTTCAGCTGCTGCTATATGATGGCAATGTATGTGTCATACTCGGTAATGGTGACCGATGGATGCGTTTGATGCTTCGAGAATGATCTGTTGTCCTGGTATTGTCGCTTATGAAATGTTTGTATTTTCGGAATCGTCGTGTTTACCGCATTTCACCGTGCAGAAGGAACCCGATGCAGCCAAAGTTCACATGCTTTCAGCCTGCAACTCTCCTTATGGAGAAAGGTTTGAACTTCGAATACGTTCGTGTTTACGACCATTGCAACTGATAACAACGCAGCATAATTACAAGCTGCCCGATTCCTTTTCAGGTCCGATGATTACATGGCCTCCCTTGCCAGAGTTCATTGTCTTTGTCGAAATTGGAGCTCCGAGTGAAGTCTCCTGCTCAACCTCGGTAAAACGAACTTAGTAGCGGGTATGGGAGCAAAAAATCGATGAACCGTCATAATCGTACGCCACTTATGCAAGGGGAGTTGGAGTCGGAGATCATATGCGAATACTGGCTAGCTTTACCGGTACATTTCTATGTTAAATATTCCCGGAATGCAGTGTTCTTGAGGACCAAAGAAGACAAATATGGAAATGAATG